CGTAGCTCAACCAGGGGCGAAACGGCGTGGGGGTCGTACCCGCCCCCCCCCCCTCGGCGGCGCGGCCGGCGAGGGTAAAAGAGCTATGAAAATGCGCTTTTCAGCGACGATGTAGCTCTATTGTTCCCCGAGGTAAGGGCCGGTGTTTCGAGAAATGTTGACATATTTAACATTTTACCTTTGACGACCTCTGGTGACCTGACTTTTGACCTGACCTAAAAATGACCAATTACTTAATCCGGAGCTTTGGACGCTCTTTCGAACGCCACTTACCACAAGTGGCTATTTGGCCTAAGGGCCGAGTTAAAAGGGTTAAAAAAGTTCAAACACCTCCCAGCCCGGCGCGTTTGGCGCCGAGCACCGGTCCGGCGCCGATTAATTTTTGGCTGCTTCACCCAAGGTCGCAAAGAGTCGCAAGAAATGACTGTTAGATCTTGTAGTGCAATTTCTCCCTTGACAGGTAGCGAGGTTTTCGAGCGGTACTTTGTAGTACTTTTTTAAAAAGTCTATTTGTGTATGACATCAATAATGTGAAATTATATTTTCGTCTTTAAATCTTTGCGGTGCAAATACATTATAAACAAGTGAGAGTTCGTCATTTTTATGTTTTTAGATGTGTTCTTCAGGCCTGGAGCTATCATTTGGTATATAGAAATGTGGAATTCCTCCTCAAATTGTGATTGTTTTCGTGGATCAAGGATGCGCTGTCGAAGAGTGTGGGAGATGGGTCCGGTCGAAACGATTCCGAAGTTCGTGTTTAAGCTGAGTTTTCGCCATGAAATAGCAATTGTGTTGGAAAACAAAGACCACAACAATGCAGTATGATCATTTCTGAACAAAAATGGTAAAGGGTTCATTGCACTTCCAGAGAGTCCGTTTTTTTACACATGTCGTGCTAGACCTGGCGATCGGCCCAGTGTGCGCCGGCTGACAAGTCCGATCAGAGGCCAGTTTCACCAATAAAAAACAGACGGCTGCGATTATTTTTTGACAAAACGATAGTCTCAAAATGTCATTTACCGCTGAAAATACTAATCGCTGACTTGAAAAATGTAATAACTTAGCTTTCAAGTGCTATATTATTTGGTCAGTAATTACTTTCCCACCGGTAAATAGGATTTATAGACTATCGTTTTGTCAAAAAATAATCGCAGCCGTCTGTTTTTTATTGGTGAAACTGGCCTCAGGCTCATTTTTGACTTACGCACTCCTTGATATATGCCTTAGATACCCTGAGGGTACCAAACTTTTAAATCGTTTTTTTTTTTTCAGGTCAAGGCCAGGTCATCCTAGGTCACGAAAATTGTATATCATGTATCGGTCACGTGACGCATGAATTATGATCCATTTTACTCGTAGATTTCGAAAATAATGTCGTCTGTGTAATTTGACGTCATTTTCAGCTGCATTTACCGGAGGTCAGGTCACTTTCAGGTCGGAAAAGATCTAATTTTGAAAATGAAATTAAGCCACCAAAAGTTGCCTATCAGATGCAGTTTAAACTCAGGAACACGATAGTGCCATTTATATTGTTGTGCGATGTCAAAAACGTACTGAAAAACCGTTTTTAAGATCTGGAGCTAAAACTTGCAAGAAAGTTCAAAAACTATTTGAAAAAAAATCAAAAATATATTTTTTGTAATTGTAAATACATATTTTTTTCAAAAGTTTCAGAATTTCGAAAATTCGAGATCAAAGTTTGAAGGCTACGTGTATTTGCAGTCCACTCATGCAAAGAAATTGGATCTAGCTTTAAAACTGAGCTCTTGAAAGCGTTTGCCGTAATTCAATGTTTTGCATCAAAATCGGCCGAGATGACGTCGCTCTGACATCATTTTCGGCCCAACTATGGTAGGTAGAAAGTTGACCTTTTAACACATGGTGTCAAATTGATGCCGCTGAAGGTACGGCAAGTTTTGTATTGATCCATCAAACGGCTTAGAAGATATTGCTGAAAAATGGGAGGGGGGCTCTGTAGAGCCACGGGGGCTCTGTAGAGCCCCCCGAGTCATGCACGGGTTAACCCGCGCCCCGTTGGGCTCTGCCGAGCAACCTGCCCGGTTGGGGGGGGGGGCATTTTGGCCCCCCCCCTAAGATCTCGAGAACCACGCAACATAGCGACAAGCGGTAAACGGCGTTGGATAGCCCCAACGGGGAACTACCTTGTGACCCAATTTTATTGACCTAGGTCAAACCAATGACGTCACAGGTCAGGTCAAAGGTCCAATTTTCACCGTTTACAGGCACTTCAAGAAATGCGTTGTAAAATCGAGTAAAATGCATTTCATTGAAAATCATCGATGGGGAAATGTTCTTCAAACACATATTTTGCTCTTTGAGGTCACTGATACCAGGTCAGGTCACAGAGGTCAGGTCACGGGGGGGTCACAATATGAAAGTGTCGTGTGATACATGTTTTATTATCCATTTTACATGACAAATGCGATTATATAGGTCAGGCAGCCTTTGGGGCCAGCTTAGATCACGTTTTGGTCAAGGTTAGGTCAAGGTCAGGTCAAGGTCAGGTCAAATTAGGTCAAATTTCAAAGTTAATATTTTTGCATAAAATGGGTATCGAATCGATGCAGCTTGTCACGGGGAGTTCAATGGTGGTCTTTGTTTTGCCGTACGTGGTCTAGAATTGCTAAAAATTGAGTTCAAAAATTTGACGTCATCATTTTTGAAGTTTTTTTTGCTATAACTTGGCCAAAAAACGAGATATCGATCTGAAATTTGGTATGTATATAGAAGAGCGCTGGGACTATTACATATATTCCGTTTTTTTTCGAAATTCGGAAAATTTTTGGATTTTTTCAAAGTTTTTCTAAAAAAATCATTTTTTTGATTTTTTTTGGTCAAAAACCAAAAATTTTGAAAATCCGAGATAGCAGTTTTGTAGCGCCACTTTTTGTCTACTAGACCATATAAAGAACTTTGAAATTGCTTGATAACTGTAGATTTGGTGAGCGTTTCAAGATTGCATGTTTTTTGCTCATTTTTGCTCGAACATGACCTCAGTTTGACCTCAATAACTCCTAACCTAAGGTGACCTAAGACTTGAAACTTGGTGTGAAGGTGTCAAATTGATGCCCGGGAAGGTACTGAAAATTTGGCGGCGCTGCGCGCCGCCGTTTTCTTGTTATTCAGGAAAAACCACAGGGGGGGGGGGGCCAAAATGCCCCCCCCCCCAACGGGGCGAGGGTTAAGCAAGGATACAGCTAGAAACTAGCCTGGCACCAAAACATAAACCTAATCACATCATACCTATGTGCAGGGTGGAGCCCAAAGAGCAAAGAGTTCCTTGCAGTCATCAAATGCAAGTGGTCTTGCCGAAAGAAGCCTTGTTGGAATTTGAGGACATTCACCATAGCAGTCCTCCGAATTTGTTTCTTTTGTTTTGCAGGGTTGGGTCTTTTCGGTCTGACAAAACGTTTTCAGAGCCGGAAGGATGATACGAATAAGGGGGAGACGTTGGTCTGGGCGACCACCCTGGTGAGCCGCCGAGACTGAGCCCGTCACAGTGGACAGGCCAGCCACCCCCGAAAACGGTCATCCCACCGCAGGATGGGCCTGCTGCTGGGCTGGAGTTGTCTACGTCGGATTGATTGTCCTCTTAAATCACTTAGGCACTCTGTGCAGTGTTGTACTGGAACTGATCGGCTAGAACTCTCAGGTAGGGACGACGATACCATGCCCCAGTTTCGCTGCCGATGTTCGCTCGAGGGCCGGTGGGCGTCTTCTCCGGGGCGCTCAGGTGTCCTGAAGGGCAGGCGCTGCCCACACGTCCGAGCGCTCGTCCGGCGCGCGGCCAGCCGGTCCGGTGCTTCCCTGGTTCCTGCAGGAGGCGGCCCGCCAGACGGCAGCACCGCCCGCCCGTCTGCCGGCGCATCAGCGCGCTCCTCTCGGCGCCAGAGGCTGCAGCTGGAATCCCGACACTTTCTCCCGGCGGTGGCAAGGTCGGCGGCTCATCTTCTGCAGCCGGGGGTGCGGGGCACGCCCCCGTTGCCCGTCCCCCGGCGGCGCCCCTCGGCACACCGCCGGCGGCCGGCTATAAAGGAGCGGGCCGGCCGTCCGAGAGACACACTGGAGTGGCGGCAGTCTACTCAGGTCATCCACCGAGCACTCCCTGAGGTGAGTGGCGGGACGGAGCCACACTCTGCCGTCCAGCCGCGGCAGCAGCACGAGCCGACCGCAGGCCAGACACCAGTGCCAATACACAATAGGAGGAACAAACCCGATCGGCAACGGGACGAAAACCAACATTCTTTATTATTCATAGAATCAATACTCGCATGTTGCCATCTTCATAATCACATCTTAATCATAATCACTCTTAGAAGCGTAAGCATGAAGAAATGAGTTGCTTGGCTATATCGGCTAATAATATTTACGATCTTCTAGACCAAATTACAATTATTCGCTCAGCCGTCAAACTATTTTCCTAGTGGAAGTGACTTTGCAATCAATCAGCGAAATAGAAGCTGATCGGGAACCTTTACCAGTAAACAAATAAATAGACCTCGGCGTAAACAGCCCATTTCCCGATCGCCCGCGCAGAGGTGGATTTCTCAATGCGATGAGAAGAAGCCCGACTGATAATTTCCTTCACATTGTCGTGAGCGGTGAAAAAATGTATATAATGCAATGTAAGCCTCGAAGACCTGGGTTTGATCCTTGGATACATATATTAAGGATTAGTTAAGTGAGCTTATTGCGCGACACACGACCGGAAAAAGACGACTACCAATTACTGGCTGGGTGTCAGGCGCAGCGCTGAAGACGCGAAGGCCTCTGAGGGCGCCAAGTCCATCCACTCTCTCACGCCTGGCTACGTGATGTATAGACAGACGGGCATCCGTTGCATCTGAAGCAGAGCGAGTTACATGCCGGTGTGAGACAGTGATTGGACTTTGCTGCCCACCACCCAGCGCGTAGCAGAGCGTGAGTCGAGCCGCAAGGTCCAATCACTGACTCGGCCCATGGAACTCCTCTGTTGCAGAATGTGGCGCATTCTGGTGTCCGCTCTGCTGGTGACGCTGGCTGCCGGCCAGCTGGAGATTCCCGACAGCTACCTGCCGCCCAAGTGCCCCGAGGGCAAGACCATCACGAGCACCAGCACGCAGGTGCAGGTGACCACCGTGGAGCGCACCGTGGTGTCCACCATCTCGCAGACCCAGCAGGAGCAGACCACCGTCACCAAGGTGGTGCCGAGCACCGTGCGCGTCACCAACACTCAGCGCGTCACCAGTGCCGTCGTCAAGAGTGTCGTGGGCACCCGCCAGATCACCCAGACGGTCACCAGCACCGTCACCGCGCCCGGCAGCACGGTCACCAACACGCAGACCCAGGTGCTCACCACTACCAGCGTGGTCAGCCAGCAGCGGACCAGCACCCGGGTGGAGCAGCGCACCAGCATCGTGTCGCAGCAGGTGCGGAGCACGGCGCGGCTCACCTCGACCGCCACCCGGCGCGTGGACTCGGTGGTGGCCGTCACCAGCACGCAGGTGGTTCCCGGCAGCACGGTGCAGCGCGTCATCACCTCGCAGGTGGAGCAGACGCGCGCGGTGACCTTCCAGCCGCCGCCCTAGTACCGCACCGCCACCAGCATCCTGGTCCGCACCGTCACCAGCACGTCCGTCGCGCCGGCGCAGACCGTCACCCGCACCCAGACCATTACCAGCACCAGCGCGGTGACGCTGACGGCGACCGTCACCAGCACCAGTCAGGTGACGGTGCCGCGGGTGGTCACCGAGACGCGGCAGACGCAGAGCACGCGCCAGGTGGCCACCACGGTGATCAGCTACCGGACCGTCACCAGCACGCAGACGGTGCCCAAGTACGTGACGGAGACGCGCACGGTCATCTCCACGCGTCCGGTGGTGCTCACCCAGACCAGCACGGCCGTGGTCACCGTGCCCGGACGGGACGTGGTGCGCACCATCAGCGTCAAAAACACCAAGACCGTGCCGGTGCCGGGCAAGGACGTGTACGTCACCAAGGCCACCACCATTGTGAAGACCAGCACGTCGGTGGTGGTGTCGACCAGCATCCAGCCGTCCACCGTCTACAAGACCAGCACCGTCACCAAGTCCTGCGAGGGCTACAAATACGACACGCCCGACAACCCGCTGCTCTTCTAGACCACCCGCCGCACCAGTCGCCGCTCCGCCGAGGAACCACACTGCGAGCACAAGGCCGAGCGCCAATAAGTTATGAGTGTGCCGTATGGTTGTAAGCCACGATGAATAAGCGCTTGCTGTGACCCATGATCATCTATTGAGATATTTTAGCGACGGATTCAGTGCCTGGGAATAAATATATGTAAAAAAGAAATCGAACATATCGAATGTATGACTTAACATGCATCGTAACAGCAATTTATTAGATGCCAACGGTTAGCTCGACAAGCAAAGGTAAGCAGCATCCCTAAACGTTCCTCTTTTGACAGATGTTGGTGCTTGTTGTTGCTTTGATCTCATGCCAGACATAATCAATGTGCTCAATATTGCGTCCCTGTGGCCTGCGGTGCTGACTGACGGCCGCGCTGTCCTGTCGTCCGCAGGATGAGTCGCCTGCTGTTGCTGCTGGGCCTGGTGGCCGCCAGCTGCGCCGCGCCGCAGGAGCTGGCTGACGGCTACCTGCCGCCGGAGTGTCCGGAGCCCAAGGATGCCACCGTCACCAGCACGGTGGTGTCGAGCTCGCAGTATGAGCGGGTCCGCACCAGCATCCAGCAGCAGATCGTCACCGTGACCCGCACGCAGACCAAGGTCGAGCCGCGGCTGACCACGCTGACCACGGCCGTGACGCAGACGGTGCCCGTCACGCAGACCAGCAGCACGGTGGTGACGCAGACGCAGAGGAAGCAGGTGGTGCGCTCGGTGCCGGGCCCGGTGGTCACCCGGCGCGCCACCGTCACCTCCACGCAGCGGGTGGTCAGCACCAACTACGTGACCCGCACCGTGACCAGCACACAGCTGGTGACCAGCACCATCCGGCAGACGGTCACCAGCACCGTCACCGTCCCCGTCACCACCACCGTCACCAACATCGTCTCCCGCAGCAGCGTCATCACCCGGCGGCTGCCTGACCAGACCCAGGTCAACACCGTCACCCGCACCCGCACCGTGACCAGCACCAGCACCCTGCCCGCGCAGACCGTCACCAGCACCGTCTCGCAGACGAGCACGCAGACGCGGTCGACGACCGTGCAGCCGCCGCCGCGCACCGTGTCCACTATCTCCACACGAGCGCTGGTCACCACCGACCGCGCCACGCAGACGCGCGTGCTGACCAACACGCTGACCTCGACGCAGACGACGACCCGGACGGTGACGCAGACGGTGACGTCCACGTCCGTGGTGCAGCAGGTCAGCACGGCCACCTCGCAGGTGCAGGTGACGGCCACACAGACGACCCAGCGGGTGGTGACGCGCACCGTCACCAACACCGAGTACCGCACCTCGGTGGTGACGAGCACCAGGTCGGCGGCCGGGCGCACGCAGACGTCCACCAACATCCAGGTGGTGACGGTCACGCAGCCGCTGCCGGGCACCACCAAGACCGAGTACAGCACCGCCGTGGTGGACAGCGTGATCCGCACGACCAGCATCCAGGTGCGGCCCGTGGTCACGACGCTGGTCAAGACGGAGACGGTCCAGGCGCCCTGCGGATACAACTACGACGAGCCAGAGAAGAAGTTCGAATACTAAGCGGGCCCGCGCCGGCACAGTCCGTCTATCATCCGATACCGTTCGGGGAGCAGCTGCCTGCGCCACCGGACGGTGGCGGCACGCACTCTCCAGCTCTTCACTGAATTCATTTATTGGAGCATAAATTATTGTCATGGGGTCAAAGACGATCAGCAGGCGCATATTCAGCGTGGTGTGTGAAAGGGCAGCGTGCGAGGTGTGTACTGGACACGTGGCGACAACTGCAGTGATAATACAACGTACGACCTATTGTTGAGTCTCTCTGATCTCCGTGTCGGCAGAGGCACGGAGACTAGCTACCAGCAATCTCATATCAATGCACACACACTTACCACCATCCATGCAGATCGAAGAACATGTAGAACACAATTGTGGAGATGTGGAGATTTCGCAAAACATAACCACACTGTAGATGGTGTTGTCCGGAGCAATCATTCATCAGCACCAGGAACTAGACGGACACAAATATTAGGAATGTCCATAACTTTCATAGCTGGAGGCTGGCAAAATCGGTCTCTGAAATTGACTCTGGTCCATAACTAGAATTCATTAGCATTTCCCACGGTCTAAAATGATCCCCTGATTGACTAGCAATGCGTGTTTACTCGAGCTAACAGCGAACGTTGAAAGAAGGCATGTCCCTGCCTGCACGCTGCAGAGCGCACAATGCACGAGTTAATCCGCTGTAAATGGCATCCCAGGCCAGTAACGCACAAACAAGGCGACGCACCAGACTGCAGGTGCAGACTGTCACCAATATTGCCGAGACTGAATGTCGCACGTGCGCACGAGCAATAGCTCCCCAACCGAGGGACATGGAGCAGCATTGCCCGTTGGGTGTCTGCCTACAGTTTCACTCTAATCGACCCACTGATTACCAATTTATTACAATTGGAGCAAACTTGACAGATCTTTATTTCGCACGCAGCACGGGAAGTGAGAATGACCCACATGCATCAAGAGACAAGAGTAGTCCGAAGCCCGGCAGAAGGGCCGCCTCGCTACCCTAAAATTACCTCACCTTACCTACCTTATCCTGCCTAACTAACCTACAAAAATACCACATACCAATGGGCCCGGGCCCAGCGGTCAGGGAGATACGAGTATGAGACCTCTCAAAAGCGCTACTTTAGCAGATCCACTTGACCAGTGACCACCCTTGACTTTTCACATTGCACGTGACAGAAAGATCACCTAGATGCATCAAGAGTGGTCAACTACGGGGTATATGATGGAGCTACCCAGCAAAAAGACCATAGGTCAACAGAATAGGCCCAGGCAGCGCACACTGGTCGGAAACGCTCCAGCGAGAGGCCAGCGGTCTTTCCGCAAAAGTTTTTTGCTTGTTATTCCACAACTAGTGAAGCAAACTTCATAAAACTTTGCATGCCTTCTCTGTCATATGTAAGCTATCAGTTGGATGTCAAGCACTAAATATATGACGTGAATCTGTTAACCCTCGCCCATGTAGGGGGGGGGGGTTGGTGCAACCCCCCCCCCCTGAGGTTTTTCGGAAATAGTGCAAAAACGGCGGCGCGCAGCGCCGCCAAATTTTGGGTACCTTATGGGGCAAACCTTGCGCATCTTTTGATAAAAAAAATTTGACCGGGTCATGTCAGGTCACGGAGTTATGACGTCACAAAGGGAACAGCCTCCGGCCGGATTTTCACAAACTGAGTGCCAACGCCCGAGGTTTCCTGCCAGTGGTACGGACATCGGTTGATGGATCGTGATGAAACTTCCCATGCATGTTGGGGCAAGTATTGGCTATCATATGGTATAAGAAACTTGACCGGGTCAGGTCAGGTCACGGAGCTATGACGTCACAAGAGGAACAGCGTCCGGTACTATTTTTGAAAAGCGCCCGAACCACTATTTTGCTAATTCTTGTCACCTCAATGGGAATATGCAGCAATATTAGCTTCTATAGGGAGCAAATGGACCTCCCAAATCCAAAAATACAATCAGATTTCAAAAATTTAAATTTTGATTTTTCGAATTTCTGCCGCCGACTGTGACCTTGCCGACTTCCGGCGCTCCCAACGCGCCATTTTTAGAGCTAGGGAAACGAAATACATACCAAACGATAGAGAATTGATCAAGGAACACGATAGTGAAGGTTGTAAGTCGATATCTCCCACCGTTTTGCCGCAATCGCCGCGGAAAGTTGAAAAAAGTCTATTTTTCCGAAAATTTGACCTTTGACCGGTCAAAAGTAGGTCAAATGTTGACCTAGGACCAAAAAATATACCACCAATCGCGAGATCTCGGCGAGAGCAATCCGTTGGTCTTTTCCGCTAAGCTCTACGACGCTCCGTTTTCAAACGCCAAGGGGGGGGGGTCGCACCAACCCCCCCCCTGCATGGGCGAAGGTGGCAGATCGCCGTTTACGGGCGAGGGTTAAGTTATGACGTCATAATTGAGTATAATACAGGATCTAGCACCACTTTAAGTCAACAAGGGAAATTGGGAGCTGTTATTCGGGCACCGGGAATGGTTTCATGCACTCCTTGCAAGGTCCAGTGCTTGACTTTAGCATTGTTGACTTTGCGTGACGTCATTTATGACGTCACTAAGGCCATGTAAGTTTTTCGTCAATAACTCCTGATCAGATGGAGCTAGAGAGTCGGGAAAGCTACCATTGGACTCAGGAAGACCTGCCGAATCGAATGATATGCGATATGACCTCCTTCAACCATTTTCGTGACCTGGGCTCCGACCTGACCTTGACCCGAGGTTAACACCTTAACCCTCGCCGGCACAGGGGGGGTTGATGCAACCCCCCTAAGGTTTTTCGCGAATAACTCGCGTAAAAAGCGGCCGATCGCGACGAAACTTTCAGTACCCTCGCATTGATCAATTTTACACCTACTCTGAAAATTTCATGACCCTGACCCCAATGACCTTTGACCTGTGACTTCTTTTCCGTGACCATGTTTGGCCGAAATCGCGATTCGGCGTATGTCGGCTAGCATTAGCCGCGCGTTTGCAAGCTTTTCGTGGTTTCAAACGTTCAAACATGTGATTTGATGTTGCTCCCATACATTAGGATGGGTGTCAAGGTCACCTGAAGGTCAGGTCAGGTCATTGACCTTTGGTGACCTCGGGCGACCTCGGTTCACTTTTTCGAGTTTTACATGTTTCTAGGCTAGTTTTTGGAGCTGAATTCTAATTTAGCAACCATTTGAACATTAACGATGTAGTTTTGGCGCCTTCGTAACATGTTACGAAGCTGTCAGAGGCGGTTGACACGTATTACGGATATCCGTCACAACCCCTACCGGTTGACCTGACCTGACCTGACCCGACCTGGTCTAAATGCTTAAAGACATCATCTCTGATCAAAACTAATACGATATTCGTGATCAGCACCCCGGAAAACCACATAGCAGCCACAATTTACGACTTTCTAACAGGTCCCGATTTTCCCGGTTTTCGGGTCATTGACCTGACCTGGAAGGTCACCCGATGACCTAGGACCTTAAAATTGGGTATGATCGGCTTCCTCTCGTGACGGGCAACACGCTCGTTTTTTCAGCGAGGCTCTAGCTCGATCAGGGGCCAAACGCGAGGGGGGTCGTACCAACCCCCCCCCCCCCTTGTGCCGTCGAAGGACGCAAAATGGCCTGTGCCGGCGAGGGTTAAGTTGACTTCACCCGAACACCAAGTATAGCATTCAACGCGCCTGAGCTAGACAAACACGATTATGCCAAAATCGCGGCAGTGCGACCATTTTTGGCAAAGTAATTAACCTAAAACCGAGCCCGTGCCTTGTGGCACTTACCTGACCTAAGAGGTCACTGGCTGACCTAAGACCTTAAAATCGGGTAGTACCTAATTTTTGCGTTTTATAACGGCACACAAGCGTGTTGTTTTCCGCGAGGCTCTAGCTCAATTAGAGGCGAAACGGCAAGGGAGTTGTACAGGGACCCGCAGTTGCTACTGTACACATATATTACCAATTTAGAATTGCGCTATTATTTGCTAAGTGCTGGCCATTGGAGAAAGGAAATGTAGCGCAAAGCATAAAGGAATAACACATGTTTGCTCCTAGCACGTATGTTTTGTATAATTCCTCTTACCGCAACAGATATTCTTCCAAAACTACAATCGTGCTATTTTTCCGCGCCGGTTGCCTCCCCAGAGCCCGTCCTTGGTATCGCCTATAGCTTCCGTTCCCGCTACGTGAATGAAAGTCACGTGACTACTACAGGTTTGCGCTCAGTACTAACACACCTAGCCCGAGGGCCGGTCCGTAGCGGGGAGGGGTAGAACGCCTGAGCTCCAGCGCAGTGGAGGTGGTGGTGGCCCGTATCATAAAGAGGCAACCGTAAGCAGAACTACAATTGCCGCAGTATAAGATTATGATCAAGTTTTCTTTAAATGTATTGATTGACAAGAAAGTGCAATGTTTATCCGATATAATAAAACGGTGTCCAAGGCCTTGGAAGAACTATAAAACATATTCAGCAACGTATAAATTTCAGATACAGCCCATGACCTTTCACCTTGCCTCCGGGGAGGACCGCTCAGGAAGCCACATACCGAACGAATCGAGGCCTCGCAGCGCGGCGGCAGAAGAGGTGGATAAACCATCGCCAGATCTTTCGATTACTTATGTTTCCAGAAGACTGAAGAAGGAGGGGGGTGGAGGGGGCTATTTTCAACCCACTCAGCAATCCTTTCCTTATTAACTTATAGCTTACCGAAAAATGCAACACAATGGTGGCCGTCACGAGATGTAGCGAAGAGTGCCTCAGCCACACCGGTTTTGAGTAAACTTTAAGCATTCGAATTCAGGCCAGTGATCCTGAAGCATTATTTTATTTTTGTCGTGCATGAGCTGGGATGACGTGGGCGAAGTTAATTGCGAAGAAACAGTTTTAGTTTCAGAACATTTATGAGGCTAGTCGCGCCAAATAGTATACGTTTGTTGTAAAATGTCAACTAGAATGTTGACGTGCTATCCAGATAATGGAATTTATTTGACACAAGAAGTCAAAAAGTGGCATCGTTAGTCATCCTGCATACCTATAAATCGATTCGTCACTTTGGTTCGAGCTCAATAGTTGTTTTCGCGAATTATCGGTTTCGTTTTCTTTTATTTGGGGGGGGGGGGCAGTTTATGAGCCAGTAACCACCCTCCCCACCCCCCCCAAACAACAATTGTTGACAAATACTGTGATGGCCTAAAAAAAATGCCCTCAATTGTGTAACGTAGGGAAGAATGAGGTAAGTTGAGCCG